GGGGAGCGGGCGGTCATCGCAGCCGGGCCTGTTGTTTGCCCTGGGGTTGCGGTATTGCGTTTATGCGGCCCTATTGTGCCCGTTTGTCATGTAGGGGTACAATCAGTACGTACATCTCGGCATTGTCATTTCTATCATATGCACATCCAGTTCTAATGTATAAAAGTCCTAATGCATCAGTTAAATATCACAAAGCATTACATCACGGTACTCTTTATGTTCTCAACAAGTGCCTTAGGGGCTGATGTGGGCATACACATTATATTTTGAAGGGGATGGGCCTCCTGTCTGCTGTGTAAGGGCAGTAAGTCACACTAATCCCTCCGTCTTGACCCCTCCATGCCTTATTTCCCAGTTACGGGTAGGATAGGTCCCGTGTCCTGGTTCGGGTGCTGTCTCTCACTGCGGGCCTATTCGTTTTAGGGGGGGTAGTTACCCAGATGGAACGTCACTTGTAGCCCCACACATTACGTCTCCCTTGCTGGATCCATTTGTAAAATTCTCTAGGGGGGTTTGACTGGGTCTCACTAATTGTCAGGTCCAGTCATGAACGTTCACTGCATCTTTCTATTGTGCCCTTAGAGTTAGTTTGTCGGCAGTAGGGTGGTGCAGTGCGATTAATGCCCAGGGTATGGGTGGGTTAAAACCTCCGTATGGGATATCACCAACATTTGAATTAACATATTAACAGAATGCAGTATAAGAAGCAAAATAACACTTGCTAGTCCTTGGGAAGTTAGCGATCTTCCTCTCTGTGCGCCGCTCGTCGTTGCCTTTGTGGGCGCCAGTCAGCCCCTGGTGCCGTGCTTGAGCTTGCGTGGTGTAGGTTCTGGGCTAGGCCCCATTTGTGCAGGAGATCTAGGCCTTCCGCTGGGGTTGATGCCGTGATGAGCTTTCCTCCTTTCGTGATGAGGAGTTTCGCTGGGTATCCCCATCTGTAGGGGATGTTGTGGTGCCTTAGTACCTCAGCCACTGATTTGAAGGATCTTCTGCGTCGAAGCGTGTCTGCTGAGAGGTCTGTGAATAGAAGGATATCTTTGAACTTGTCTGGCAGATCTTTTTTCGCTCTATGAGCCCTTAGTATCTGGTCTTTGACGTGGAAGTAATGGAGCTTCATGAGCACATCTCTTGGGGTGGTAGACGGTAGGTGTTGCGGTTTGGGGATTCGGTGTATTCGGTCTAACAGGAGCATGTCCGTTGGTATGTCTGGTAAGACATGTCGGAAGAGTTCCACCGTGTAGGCCGTTAGGTCTTGCGTTCCCACCTCCTCCGGCACTCCCCTCAGTCTGATGTTGTGGCGGCGGGACCTGTCTTCTACATCTGTAAGCTTAGCCTCATGTAGGGATAGTCTTTTTTCCATGTCACTCAGTCGGTTGCCCATCTCAGTGTGTGCAGAGTTTATAACCTCCATCCTCCCCTCCAATTGGGATGTCCTTGCATCTATGGCAGTTATATCTGTCTTTATGTCAGCAAGAGCAGTGGTAATGGTTACCTGCATTTTTGAGACTGCTGCATCAAGCATTTTCTGCAGTAGGTGAGTGGTTAGCAGGGTGTCCGTCCTGTATTCCTGTGCACCCATGTGATCGGCATCCGGATCAGACTCGGCGCCATCTTGGATGTGAGTATCGGCATGTTTGTGTTGCGGCGTTCTGGCCGCGAAAAAAGCCGCTTTGTCTTTGGGGTCTGCATTCTTTTTATTCCGGTGTTGGGACATCGTGTTGGAGTGCCTGGGGTCCAGGGGACCGCTTGATTGTGGGTGTTTAGCCGCTTATAAGAGCCCAGAACTGCGGAGCTCTTTCAGTGTGCTGCCATCTCCGTTCGACGTCCGGCCACGCCCCACGGCAATGTTTTTAATGGGGCGGAAAGGTTTAGACAAGGGAGCGATGACATTTGACGTAACAATTGGTATCGACCCTAAGCTACTGTTTCTTCTCATTTAAGCAGCTCATTATGACAGAAGGAGTTACAGCATGTACCTAGCTTGAACAGTTAAATAACAAAGTGCGTTAAAACTGAATGCCCAGGAAAGCAACTGTCTTAGCATTTACTAAACCCTGACGTTTGACCTAATCTGCGCATGACCAACTCTGACTTGAGGCTGATATACAGGACAATATAGCTACCACTACCCTATATGATGAACAATGTATAGAGCCCTAATGCGTTACTGAACCGAGCCCTGTGTATAGCACACTGTCTGAACCCAATAACAAACCCAATGGGTAGGCATGTCTTGTATTTGAGCACTAACCTATCGCAACCTACTAGCTTCCCTTAAAAATTTGTGCTGGTTTACGAATGCCATAATGATGTCTTTCTCTAATGTTATTATTGTACTTGCCCATGCTGTCGTGGCTGTGCAAGTCCTTTTGTTATAACATGCACAACAAAAATAAAGAATAAAAAAAAAAAAATCTCTACATAATGCTGCTCCCACCTATCTATCTTCCCCAATACACAGGTATGTCCAATCTAGGCCCTTACGCTCTGCTGAAGACCTGCGTCTATCCTCTGTTCATACTCCCACCACTGATGCTCGCCTTCTAGACTTCTCTAGGGCTTCACCGTTCCTGTAGAACTCCCTTCCCTTTTCTGTTAGATGCTCACCTAGTCTCCACTCCTTCAATAAAATCATTAACAACTAACTTTTTCACAAAAGCACATCAATTAAACTGTTAATGGAACCCAAAAAAAAAACGTCACTAAGTCTTTATTGAATACTATTCTACCAATCTACTTCCCTAATACTTTCCTTACCTTTTGTGTCACTTTACCCCACTCCCTCTAGCATGTAAGCTCATTGAGCAGGGCCCTCAACCCTTCTGTTTCTGTGCGTCAAACTTGTCTGGTTACATATTTGTTAGTCTATCCATTGTAAAGCGCTACATAATTTGTTGGCGCTATATATATAATAATAATAATAATATATATCATTTTGATACCATTACCTTTTTGATTTGTGAGTGAGTTGTGGGTGTAAAGTCTTAAAAAAACCTTTAGTCACTTACCCGATTCCAGCTTTGATTTCCCTCGGCGCTGGGTCGGTGGTCCACCTCCTCAAACATCATACTAAGGCACTCAGAGTCCCATAGAGTCCAGGAAGAGCCACTGAAGGCAGTCTTAGTGCTGCAAAATTAACATTGCAGTTTCTAAAAAAGCATTTTCTTTATTTCCCTCAGCAACAAATGAAATATAATACTGATTAGAAAATATAATCTGACATGTCAACACACCAACCGATCACATCAGAACTGTGGGTATAAATGTCTTAGGCAATCCACATTCTTTGTCTTTCTTTGTTGCTCCCTCAGGTATTTGGGGCACTTGGGCTTTTCCTCAGAGTCGCACAAGCTAACTCTGAGGAAAAGCCCAACCTGATTGTGTATTTTCTCATTATGTTGAATGGAGTGAAATGTTGATTCACCTGCCTCCCTTTTGGACTCTCATCTGCCCTATGGTGCTTTAACAAGATCATGTAGTCAGTGGTCACGTTCTTGCAGAGCCACAACAACGGGACTTAATGGACTGGATATAGTTCCTGTAGGATGACATCAGTTAATTTGCCATCTCCTTAAAGTGATGCTGTTTGCAAAACCTTCTAAACCAAAAACTCTACCATATGGGATGTTCATTTAGTTTTCCTCTTTGTTTGACCTAGATTTGTCCCTAAAGCAACTACAGGCCTCAGGCCTGTCGTGCTCTGCCATCCAGGGGGTGTGCTGAACCGTGGACCACCATAGCGCCTGGTATGCATCGTCCAGCCAAAGTTCTTTCCATACCAGGCTCTCAAGCTCCTTCACCCACTCATCCAGGGGCTGCTTGCATCTGTAGCCGTTGCTCTTCACTGGGGAGTCTCTCACCCTGCTGATGCTGTACACTTTCCAGGGCTTCATACCAGATGTCTTTTCGGGCTGCATCCCACAAGTCTGGGTAATTCCCCTCCTCATATAGGGACGCTACCCGGGGGCTAGCTCACCCCATATTGCTGAGTTCCTCCGCAGACAGGGGCGCTGCACAGGTGCTAGCGTTGCCCACTTATTGTTATCTCACATATATATTATTATTAAGTGTTCTTGCATAGCAAGACCACTTATTGTTATCTCACATATATATTATTATTCTTATTATAGCCAAATTTGCCACCCTAACTCCTCCCACAGTTTCTCACAATATAAAGCTCTTCGCTGTAGGATGTATAGTTTTTAAAATACGACCGTTTGAAGATGGCAACCGCCAAAATACTCTGATCTGTGCCAGGCTGCAGCAGCAAGTGATGTCATAGACAGGGCCTTTTGAACACCTGCTAATGTTTTATAAATGTATGGTTTAATGTAACTGTGCAACAACGTTGCAATTAAATGTGCTATGTAAATGATAAGTTACTCCGCCCACTCCAGTTGTAGACTACAGGTGGAGGCAAGAACACTTCACACAATTTCCCAGAAATTGTAACTTTTCTAGTTATTAAGTGTTCTTGCATAGCAAGACCACTTAATGTTATCTCACATATATATTATTATTATTATTATTATAGCAAAATTTGCCACCCTAACTCCTCCCACAGTTTTTACACTACATAGACAAAAATTTACCAAAGCGTGCAGATTGTTCCCGATCGGATTGCTATTACTTTGTGGAACGTTTCGCCGAATGGTTCACGGAATATCGTCGTTCTTGTGGCGCAATTTGTCCCATAGGAATGAATGTCAAAGCTAGAGTGGGAGCTGGCAAAAGCTGAAAAATCAGGACATGATTTCTAAACTGCCACCATTCCCTTATTTTCAGGCCCACCTACACAAATCTTATATCAAAACGTTCAGCTATCTCTGCTGCCACTAAACATGTCAACAGCTAAGCCATAGTCCTGATAGTTTTCACAATATAATAATTTGTTTGCAACTCACGCCGTCCATTGACATTCATTGAAACTCCACTCTGCAAAGCTCAAATTTGAAGTGCAATTTCTAAACTGCGACTGTGCCTTCATTGTTAATATTGCAGAGACATACTATGCATCAAAATGTAGGTCTGGGTCTTGTGATTCTCACAATATAAAGTTCTTTGCTGTAGGATTTATAGTTTTTAAAATACGACCGTTTGAAGATGGCAACCGCCAAAATACTCTGACCTGTGCCAGGCTGCAGCAGCAAGTGATGTCATAGACAGGGCCTTTTGAACACCTGCTAATGTTTTTATAAATGTATGGTTTAATGTAACTGTGCAACAACGTTGCAATTAAATGTGCTATATAAATGATAACAGTTACTCCACCCACTCCAGTTGTAGACTAGAATACTTCACACAAGTGGAGGCAAGAACACTTCACACAATTTCCCCAGAAATTGTAGCTTTTCTAGTTAATCCAATGATACCGGTGTCTCCAGGATGCTTCTATACTCACTAGGAAGCAATGCCACCACTGCCACCAGATGCGGCGAGATGCCTGGTACCCCGACTGGGTGCTTCCGCCAATCACTACTTCCTAGTAATCATTGAGTAAATTAAGCACCACACCTGACACCATAGCCACCAGTCCGCACAGCCAGCATTACAGCTTTGTTGGGGTCTCGCTGTCCTTCACCCACGCTGGACCCAAGACCAGGATCCAGCTTCCAGTACGTAGACCTCTCCAATCCAGAGAGTACCTCTTACAAGAAGTAGTGATTATAATCAAAGGGAGTATAAGGAGTATAGCTATTCCGAGAGGGAATATAGCTGTCCCCTCCACACATGAGATGAGGCTCTATGTTGAGGGTAAAGAGGAACTCGTTTAATGGCAGCCACAACTGGCCTTATATGCAGGGTTTATTATAACATATTCCAGGGGCATTCCCCCCTGAGAGGGGACTATGGCAAAGTACACACTGTAATTACATTGGCTCTCAGGTCCAGGACACCCCCACACAAAACAGGGTAATCCCTCCCCTGTGCTTGAGTGATAATTACTTGAGTGCACAAACATATAACTAAATTATCTCTCAGTACAAGAAACATGCAATACAACAACATTACAAACGTACCCCTAAAACACATGGAAACCCCACAAAAGTCACATCTCCTGATAGCCCCAATCTGGGGGACCTACATATCCAAAAATCACCCAGGATTGTTTTCAGGATTTCCATGGAAGTCATAATTTCGACCGACCGTGCTATGGTCCTATGCCTTAAAGGACCACTATAGTGCCAGGAAAACATACTCGTTTTCCTGGCACTATAGTGCCCTGAGGGTGCCCCGGGCTGGATGGCGAGGAAAGGGGTTAAACTTACCTTTATTCCAGCGCTGGGTGGGGAGCTCTCCGCCTATTTGGCTGAATGCGCATGCATTCAGCCAGTCTCATAGGAAAGCATTCATAATGCTTTCCTATGGACGCTTGCGTCTTCTCACTGTGATTTTCACAGTGAGAAGCACGCAAACGCCTCTAGCAGCTGTCAATGAGACAGCCACTAGAGGCTTTAGACGCTGGATTAACCCATTTATAAACATAGCAGTTTCTTTGAAACTGCTATGTTTATTTAAAAAAGGGTTAATCCTAGAGGGACCTGGCACCCAGACCACTTCATTAAGCTGAAGTGGTCTGGGTGCCTAGAGTGGTCCTTTAAATAGTTTTTCAAAAAAAGGTGATCATTAGATTCGAGTAAATATGGTACTCACCATAACAACTACATTAAGTTGTAGTTGTTTTGGTGACTATAGTGTCCCTTTAAGTTTTTCATCACTCCCCATGTGCATCAATGAGCTATGACCCTGATGCTGATTCACTTGTCATCCTTCCTTACACCACTTTTGGTAGGTACTAATCACTGCATGTTTGGAAGACACAAGATTTACCGTTTTGGAAATACTCTGACCCGGTCACCAGCATTTGGAAATGCTCTAACACAATTTGGCCCTTGTCAAAGATCCTTTTGCTTGCCCATTTATTCTGCTTCTAACTCATGAAATTCAAGAACTGAATGTTCACTTGCTGCCTAATCCCACTGCTTCACAGATGGCATTATAACAATATAATCAATGTTATTCACCTGTTAGTTATGTTCTGGCTGATCAGTGTATGTAAAAAGCATTCACTAGAGCCTCAGCTAGACATGTGCAATATGTTTCGTTCCGAATGTCAGTTTGGACGAATTTCAGGCAATTCAGACATTCGGATACTTCCGAATGTCTGAATAGCTGACTTGCCAAAGTGCCGAATTGCCAAAGTCGCGAAATTCCGAAATTGCAGAATTTCCGAAGTGCCGAAGCTCCGAAGTGGCCAAGTGCCAAAGTTCCGAAGCACAGTATTGCCAAAGTACTATACCCAGTGGAAGAATGTTACAGTGTATACAAGTTTAAAAAAAAAGTATACAAACATAGCCAGGATTCAGCTGTAAGCATTTGCAACACTTACAACAATCAAGTAACACATTCATATAAAATGTAAGTTACTTAGCCAGTCAATGGGTGGGAATGAATAAGTAGATAACTCCCTAATTCCCATGGTATTAGGGAGCTATCTACTAAAAGGCTGAAAGACCTAAATTGGACTTTCAGCCAAATTTACTTATACTAAGTAAAGATGACTTAGTATTAGTAAATTATGCCCCAACTCGCTATACCGCGAGTAGGGGCATGTCTAGTAAACAGTGAGTTTGTGGCTGCTCACTGTAAAAAATAAAAACCCTGTGTCCCCCCTCCCGAGCCCCCACCCGTGCCGCGCGAGTAGGGGTTTCTAACCTGAAGGGGGACCTATTGCCCCTCCTTGCAGGGCCGCCATCAGGGGGTGACAACCATGACGGTTGTCACAGGCCCAGCGGCCGTGGGGGCCTGGCTGCCTGGGCCCCACGTGGAGCGGCGAAACTGCGTCTGCACCAGGGCCCATCAGGTGGCCCAAGCATTTAGGGCCACCCAATGAGCCCTATATCTTCAGGGGCCCGCAAGTGCTGCTGGGAGGAAGTGACGGCTGGTCACTTCCTCCTGGCTTACTCCGCACGGGGGGAGAGACAGCCGAGGAGAGGAGAGAAGAAGCATCCGCTCCCATAATCCCCAGCCACCCTCCTGCAACGAAAAGGTAAGGAAGAGGAGGGTGGCTGAGAAATGAGGTGTGTGTGTATATGTATGTGTTTGCATGTATGTATGTCTGTTTCTCAGTATGTATGTCTGTGTGTGTGTGTGTGTGTGTGTGTGTGTGTATGTCTGTGTGTGTGTATGTATATATCTATCAGTATGTATGTATGTATGTCAGTATGCATGTATGTCTGTGTGTATATATATATCAGTATGTATGTGTGTATGTATGTCAGTATGTATGTGTCTATCTGTATGTGTGTGTATGTCAGTATGTATATATGTCAGTATGTATATGTCAGTATGTATGTGTGTATGTATGTATATATCTATCACTGTGTATGTGAGTATGTATGTCTGTATGTATCTGTGTATGTATATATCTGTATGCGTGTGTGTGTGTGTATGTATGTATGTATATCATAATGTATGCCATTATGTATGTATGTATGTATGTCAGTATGTATTTATATGTATGTATGTCTGTATGTCAGTTTGTATGTATGTCTGTATGTATGTGTGTGTGTCAGTAAGTGAGTATGTATGTACGTCAGTGTGTGTGTATCTGTATCTGCTTATGCATGTGTATGTGTCTTTATATGTGTGTGTCTGTTTCAGTATGTGTGTGTCAGTATGCCTGTATGTGTGTATGTCTGTTTCAGTATTTGTGTCTGTTAGTATGTGTGTATCTTTCTGTGTGTGTGTCTGTGTCCTTTTGTGTCTGTGTGTGTGTATTCCTGTGGGTGGGATTTGGAGACGGGCTTGGAGGCGAGCACCTGGGGGCCCAGACCTTGAGCTGTGTTAGGGGCCCAATAATTTCTGATGGCGGCCCTGACATTGAATCAATGCTTTGCTATGGAGAAAAATCTGATGCTGGATGTTTAAAATCTATAGAATCTTAGGACAACTATAAATAATACTTTTTCTCTGCTGTAAGTGAAACCACCTGTCTTTCAGTGTCAATGAAGTGGCCTCTTGTCTGCTGTATATTCCTGTTAATGACCCCTTCTGAGATGCCTTTTTTTTTGTAAAGAAAACAAATGCAGTATTCCTAGCCTTTATTCATAATTAATACCTTGCATCCCCTTTTTCATTTTATACCATCCCTCTGCACATTTTCTAGTTCTTTTTTAAAACTGGTGCCGATAATTCCATGTCATATACAGGGCCGGACTGGCCCACCGGGATACTGGGAAATTTCCCGGTGGGCCGCGGCACCTGGGGCTGGGCTGACAGCCCCATTCAGTACTGCTCAGGCTCCTGTGATCCCAGCCGGCTATGTGCAAGGTGTGCGGCCGCACAGAGCCCCACAGGAGCAGGGGGCAGCCAGGTGGCCGGCACAGTTCAAACATGCCAGGCCAGGATCATTTAAAAAAAAAAAAAAAATTTGCGCCAGGGGCGGAGCTAGTGTGCAGTGGGGGCGGGCCTTAGCGTGTGGTGGGGCGGGGCTTAGCGGGGGCGGGGCTTACTGTGGGGCGGGGGTCTGGCTAACAGCATGGGAAGCAGGAAGGAGTCCCTGCTTCCCCAACAACCAGCCTCCAGGAGCTCCAAGCAGGAGGTAAGAATGAGGTCAGTGTGTCTGTGTGACTGTGTGTGTGACTATCTGTGTGTGTGTGTGTGTGTGATTTCCTGTGACTGTGTGTGTGTGTGTGTGTGTGACTGTCTGTTTCTGTGTGACTGTCTGTGAGTGTGACTGTGTGTGTGTGACTGTGTGCGTGTGTGTGTGTGTGTGACTGTCTGCGTGTGTGTGACTGTCTGCCTGTGTGTGAGTGTGTAGCTGTCTGCCTGTATGTATGAGTGTGTGGCTGTCTGCCTGTGTATGTGGCTGTCTGCCTGTGTGTTTGACTGTCTGCCTGTGTGTGTGTGTGTGTGTGTGGCTGTCTGCCTGTCTTTGTATGTGTGGATGTTTTCCTTGTTGTGAGTGACTGTCTGCCTCTGTGTGTGTGTGTGTGTGTGTGCGCGCATCTGTTAGTGAGGTAGCCTCTGTGTGTGTGTGTGTGTGTGCCTGCTAGTGAGTTTGTGTGTGTGTGTGTGTGTGTGTCTGCTAGTGAGTGAGCTTGTATGTGTGTCAGTGAGCTTGTCTGTAGGGATAATATGTGTGTGTGTTAGTGAGCTTGTCTGTAAGGAGCATGGGTGTGTCGGAGCCTGTCTGTGGTGAGCATGTGTGTACAGTGAGCTTGTGTGTAGTAAGCATGAATGTGATAGTGAGCTTGTCTGTAGTGACCATATGTGTGTCAGTGAGCTTGTCTGTAGTGAGCATGTCTGTAGTGAATCTGTGTGTTAATGAGCTCTTCTGTAAGGAGCATGTGTGTGTCAATGGGCTTGTCTGTAGTGAGAGTGTGTGCGCATCAGTGAGCTTGTCTGTAGTGAGCGTGTGTGTGACAGTGAGCTTGTCTGTAGTAAGCTTGTGTGTGTATCAGAGTTTGTCTGTACTAAATTTGTGTGTGTGCCAGCAACCTTGTCTGTGCGTGTCATTGAGATTGTCTGTCAATGAGCCTATTTGTGTGCATCAGTAAGATTGTCTGTGTGTGAGTATGCGTTACTATATAATTTAATTACACTAAAATAACTAATATTTTGAATTAGAAGAAGAAATGTATCAATAAAAATAAATCAATTATATATATATAAATATATATATATATATATATACTGTTGCATCACCAGGGCTCCAGTATATATATAGGCAAGTGAAACAGTTGGCTGCACGCTTGGATTTCCTTAAAATGTAACTTTTATTGAAATATTTAAGAGAAGATCAACGTTTTAGTCCCTCTTGAGGACTTGCATCAGGATCATGACAAAAGTCCACAAGAGGGACTGAAACAGTGATCTTCTCTTTAATATTTCAATAAAAGTTACTGTAACAGAACTATGATTGTACCTATGCTTTTGCCTGGACTTAAATAACAACACTGCTGGATGTGTCAAACAAAAACCGAATGGCCAGTCTTCGTGGAAATATTCCTACTATAACACACAGCCCAAAATACCGAACATCAGACCACCCAGGGGAACAGTTAATTGATATTTTATCTCCCAGTGCTTGTGGAGCCGTTCGCATGGTTCATACAAATTCCTTTGTGCTCAGGTTAGATGGCCGCCATTTCGGGACTTTACACTTGTTCGCGGCCATCTTACGCACGAACAGCGGTGTTTGCCTGTGAACGCATGGAACTAAAAACGGATATGCAAACAGGCGAACACCGCTGAGACCTCCAGGAGCTCGTAAGTTCGTGCTGGAACTACTGAACGACCGGCCGTTCGGTAGGTTTGTTTAAGCCTGCATTGGGATTCCAGCGAACACCAGGATGACTGTGGATGGCAAGGGGTTCGTGGGGTTTTAATGCACGAACGGAGACCGACCGCAAGGCCAAAACTTATGGAACTCTTTTCGGCTAGAAAACCTGTGCGGTCGGTCAAAACTTCAAAGATCCATAACTCCCGAACCCCTCAACCGAATGGGCTGAAATTTGGATATATTGTTCCCCTAGTGAGAGCTATTAAGCAGTGCTGGTGCTTAAAGGTGTACCCCCTGTTTTTGGGGTACATCCAGAATGTGGTTAAAATTGTGTGTGTTTTAATTATGTTATATGTTATCTGAGGGGAGGAGACGTGGGGGTTGAACCATGTATCTAATTGGCTGTTGTGATAATTATATGGGTGTAGCCTTTCAGAGGGCACTATTGCATAAAAGGAGACCCCTGTCAATAAACATCAGTTCTACTTGACCCTTCAAAACGTAGCCTCGTCTCGTTCTTGGAGGGGATTTATGGTACCGTTACTCTGCCTCATTTTACAGCACTGCTGGATTATACACTTGGATATCGTGGATGGGAATAAGAACTCCATTACTTCACAGCAGCTTGCCTAGAAAAGGACGTCTCCAACGGCAGATAACCCTCTACAGCAGGGTAGCCGTTACAGTTACATTTTAAGGAAATCCGAGAGTGCAGCCAACTATTTCAATTGCCTATATATATATATATATATATATATATATATAAAAACACCCTACATAGCACAATGAATTATGATGATTTTTTTCCAGGGCTGCTTCGTATCCCCAGTCCGGCCCTGGTCATTTAGAAGGTGTGGTCTTACCAGTGATTTATAAAACTCTAATGTACTGGAAAGTACACAAGTCTATTTTACGTCTAAAATGAGTGGTTAAATGTCTAATGTTTTTTAAAGCTTCTTACAATGACTTAAATGGGGAATTATTACAATTTTCATTCTTCATTGTTCTGTCCTGCGCTATGCTAAGGGCACTAGGACCATACAGAGAGCACAATAACAGTGCTTTGTGCATGGAGCCAGCCAGCTTGATTGGTAGGCAGCCTGGCATACCCTCACACCAGGCTGATATGCCCCTTTTTCACAGCCTTTCCAGGTGGGTCCACCAGTGATACATTTTGAGGTTACATGCCTTGAGTCACTTGCCTTTAGGCCAGGATACCTATATTGTCAGATATAGTTCAATGGTTAAAAAATCGTTGAATTATAGTTGTATAATCTATAGAAAAGTCAGCATTACAGGCATATATTTGCAATAGCTACAATTAAAAAATACAAATATGCAAGGATTAACATTTTCATATTAAAAGAGAAATGTCAACTGTGTATCTTTAGATTTATAATCGCCTCATCGATGCATTCAAATAAATAAAATTAAAATGTATATATTAATGTCTATCAAAGTTAGGTGAAAATGTATCCAATCTCCAAATCCAATAAAGAATTTGCTATCTATATTTTGTATGTAAAGAGGGACACGTGATGTAGAAAGCTGCACAATATTAATAATGTCTGACTTTTAGAGAATTTATATCATTTAACATTTTGAGATAAAAAAAAAAGGATTTGGATAAAAAATGTAGAACATGATGCATAAATTGGCAGATATGCCCTGATAATAAAATGAGTTAGGCCTTGTTCCAGTCAGTGTGGTGAGTATGAGTGCAACATGACAGGCCTAGATGTTTCTAACTGGGCCTAGACAGATTGGGTGAAGGAGGAACACAGATGCTATAAGTGAATATGCTTGTACAAGAAACTGTTTTACTTTGGGTTTAATATCTGCACCTACTGCTCTCTGTCAATAAAGGTTATTTGTCATAGCAATAACATCATGATAGATGCAAGTACAAGTGTTAGGTCTGTTATCACATTCCTGTAAGTCTTGATGCATATGCCTGTATGTAGGAGATTCCTCTCAGAAAATCAATAGTGGGGATGAGCGGGGTAAGAGTCCTCCCACTCATGATGGTGTCATTTTTAAAATCTAATGTTTTACTGTTTAAGAAAGATGTAATAAACAAACATATCTTAAATAATTTTGGCTATCTTCTACACATAGCTTTTAAAACAATTCATCTTTCAAGATGCAAAATTATTAGTAAAAAATTACTTATTTATGTTAAATAAACGGTGAGGCAAAGTAGCTTAAATACATTTATGTCCCATTCTCCAAATAGCCTCCCTCCCCAGTGATAATGTACCAGTTTACCTATAGAAAATGGCATGGATTAGCAGATATTATATTTGTTATGAAAGCCTTTCACTCCCAGATTTTCCTTGGTTTCTTTCTAGTGTAACATCTTTACCACAGATACTAAGTATAAAGATGCTAAGAGTGCTCATGCAACTATGGGCTGAGGCTAGGGATGTGCATGGGGAAAATTTTGGGTTCGGTTCGGCATTCCGAAATTCGGGAATTTGGCACTTCGGTTCGGTTCGACACTTCGGAACTTTGGCACTTCGGCATTTTGGAATTTCGGGACTTCGGCACTTCGGACTTCTCCTGCAGCCGCTTAGTAGATAACTCCCTAATTCCCACAGTATTAGGGAGTTATCTACCAAAAGGCTGAAAGACCAATTACTAATACTTCCCCCGCCCTGCAGAGCTCAGTCTGCGCGGAGCCCTCAATGGGTGAACATGGATAAAAAATGTTTACGCTCAGGTTTTTTTGCGTCGTTTATTATGGATTTTTATGTGGCCTTTTTGGGGGCTGAAAAAAGATGTTCAAGACATCAAATATTATGTTTTTTTTTTTTTCAGGTACCTATTTAATGGTCCCCCCTCACTATTTTTAGGGTTAGTGGGGTAGGTAGGGGTTAAATCATTTTTTTGGGAGGGAGTGACTAGGGGTTTGGGGACACCTAGTCACCTGGGGGGGTTATATTTTTATTTAGGGCCCCCACCCACCGCTCAGGGACAATAGGTCCACCCCCTTATTGGTATTTAGGGCCCCCACCCACTGCTCTGGGGTGGGGGCAGGGGGGAGGACAATAGGTCCCCCCTTATTCTAATTTAGGGCCCTCATCCACCGCTCAGGGGTGGGGGCCAGGGGGAGGACAATAGGTCCCCCCCCTATTGGTATTTAGGGCCAGGGGTGGGGGCCAGGGGAGGACTATTCTTCTCCCCTCTTATTCTAACTTAGGGCCCCCACCTGCCGCTCAGGGATGGGGGCCGGGGGGAAGACAATAGGTCCCCCCCTTATTTTACTTTAGGGCCCCCACCCACCTTTCAGGGGTGGGGCCGAGGAGGTAGGGCTCCCATCAGAAATTTTGGGGCCCCTGACACAGCTCAAGGTCTGGGCCCCCCAGTGCCTGCACCCGAGACCGCCCAAAGTGCTGCCCCCCCCCGAGTCCGCCCACAGGGATGAAGTGTCTGCAGGGCCGGTGCAAGGATTTTTGCCGCCCTAGGCAAAAGTAAAGTTTGCCACCCCCCATGTGACATCACAATGCCCCACCTATATGGTCTGCCATGTTAACTAATGCCAGTGCTGCAGTGCCGCCGTGTTTACATTAAAAGGCCTGCAGGGACAGGCTAGACACCAGAACCACTACATTAAGCTGCAGTGGTTCTGGGGACTATAGTGTCCCTTTAATGTGAGGTAAATTAGAGATTAGTGCCACGAATAATATACTAGATTGCCTACTTACAACCAGATGAGGATGATGATGGTCTCTAGCTGCAGTCTGGCTCCACTGGTCTGGTGTAGAACAGGCTCTCTGGAGGCGGTTTGTAACTGTGGTCACAAAAATCAATGTTCTGGGAGAACGGGAAGCAGCTCCATTTTTTTGAGGGCCCTTTACACAGCTCAAGGTCTGGGTCCCAGGGTCCACCTTCATGTTCCACCAATGAGTTTGTTCACAGGGGGTGGAGTGTGTGTGTGGGGGATGTCCTGATGTGTGAATCTGTGTTTGTATGTGTAAGGGCTGCAAGGTGTGTTTGTGTATGTATGGGATGCAGTGTGTGCGTCTGTAAGGGATGCATTGAGTGTGTGTAAGGGGTGCATTGTGTGTTGCTGTGTGCAAGGGGTGCAATGTGTGTGTGATGGATGTCAATCTATCTGTCAATTTCTTTCTCCCCCTCCCCCTGTCAATTACTTCTCCCCCTCTCCAATTACCTTTTCCTTCTCCCCTCCCTCCAATTTCCTTCTCCCCCTCAATTTCCTTCTCCCCTCCCTCTCAATTTCCTTCTCCCCCTCCCTCTCCAGTTTCCTTCTTCTCCCCCTCCCTCTTCAATTTCCTTCTTCTCACCCCCCTCTCCAATTTCCTTCTTTCTCCCCCCTCCCTCTCCAATTTCCTTCTTCTCCCCCTCTTTCCTTTTCTCCCCCTCCTCTCCAACTTCCTTCTTCTCCCCCCTCCAATTTCCTTCTTCTCCCCCTCGGTTTCCTTCTCCCCCTCAATTTCCTTCTTCTCCCCCCCCCCTCCAATTTCCTTCCACACACTTTTTTTTCTTTTTTTTTAATTTCATCCCCCCAGCCTCCCTACCTGTGGGAGTGCTGAGGGGATTCCCTGGGGCACAGTGGTGTTGCTGGGCGGACGGGCAGGCTGGCGGGCGCGTGAGGGAGCACTCTCTCCCTGACTGAGTGCTCCCTGTTCAGCTCCCTCACGCACAGCGTACTGATGCGGTGCGCGAGGGAACTGAAGAGGAAGCACTCAGCCAGGGAGAGTGCTCCCTCACGCGCCCGCCCGCCCGCCGGGTGACACCAGGGCCAGCCTCGTGGGGCCCTGAGGTGACCGGCTGCTGGGCCCCCCCAGGAGAAGAGGCTGGCCACAGTGGGTACATACCGGGTCGCAGGGCCCCCTGCAACCCCAGTATGTACACCACTGAATGTGGGGCCCGGGACGACCTGAGCAGTCCGGGCCCCCCAGGACCGCCGGGCCCATGACAACCGTTATGGTTGTCATGCCCTGATGGCGGCCCTGGATACACACACACACAGACAGACATACAGATAAGCACAAACACGAACAGACATACAGATGCACACACAGACAGATACACACACACACACAGACAGAGATACATACAGATACACACACAGACAGACAGACAGACATGAGCCCCTCTCATAAACACAGCCCAATACTGATATTTATACTGCTTTTTGTCATTTTTGTGTTTACCTTACAGTTGATACTGATTTCTTTATTAGAGGGTGAGCCCATTTCATAAACACTGCCTCATATCAGCTGATCTTACAGCTGATCTAATTATTTATTATAAATGTGCTTCTGGGATAAGCCCCCTGATTTATAATTGTACTCTAGCTTATGCTATCTGCTACTATTACTGGAATATTTTCTATACTAATATACTGTGGGTGAACCCCCCATCAAATTATTACATATCCTTGTACCTCTCCTTGCCTGGTATTGACTTTTTGATCTGTCTGTCACTGTTACAGCTCCTATGATTGGCCCGCTTTGTCTGTGCCACTGTACCTCCCTCGTGGAGGTTTTATTATTACTGGGTGAGCCCCAGTTATTACAGATATATATTTTATTTTATAATCTGCATTGTATTGAGCAGATAATCTCATAATTCTCCTAACGCTCCTCCTGCTTCAGTCATTTAGGTATCACAATACTATTATTTACGCCATTATGGAAAACCCCTCAGGCAGTTCCCCTGTTGGAGGAACCAGAAGATTCCGATGCTTCCAAAAAGTAGACATGCATGATCTCGCAAGCGCTACTGGAAAGGGGAAGACCCACAAAACCATGTCCAAAAGTGCATGGCACCCGCTAAGAGCGAGAAAAGACCGGAATATCTCGTCAATCCTACGATTTCTAACCATTATCATTTTTGGATGAATGGCAGTGTCAGGGGGGCGGTCCGGTGACAGGGACCCAGTATGCCTGATCTTGATAGTGGGAGTCACTGTGTGGACTATCAGGGCCTGGTGCAGGGTAACCTCACGCTCCCTGGTGTTGAGCACCAGCGTTTGTGCTATAAACATTGGAGATTTAGACATACATAAAGGGCCAAGATGTATGCAGCACACCACTGCGTCAAAGTACTCCAATTATGGTGGGTCCTAACTGCCTAAATATGCATGACTAAAAAAACAATAACAAAACACACACAGCACCTACCTGCAAAGAAAGGAGGTAATGAAACCACTGCCTGCAGGACCAGACTGAAACAAAAAGGATTAATGGGAAAGGAACGGGTGTGGCAACAAAATACAAACATTTAAAGGAACCCAAGAGACTGGGAATTCCAGGAATGTAATACAGGAATGAACACAGAAAACCCAGCATAAAGAAAACCAGACATGGAATAGAGAACCAAAAAAACTAAACAAGAATTGGAAAAAGAGTACTGGATACCAGAAGCCATTGCCAGAAATAATCCACAGCCAGGAAGGATGTGACAGGCGGGGGAACACCTCCGAGGATGAAAATAGATGGCAAGGTTTGGATTTGGAGGATTCTCCCTATGTAAACTAATCAGTCACGGAAGCTGTGACGAACTCCACTTCGCCACTGGGTTTGTACCTTTTGACTATGGCCCCTGTGACTTATTTTGTTCTAAGGCACTATTTCTGCCTATTGGGATTGTGGACAATGGCTCTTTAAACTTTCTATATAGTCAAAATGGCACTTCGGATACAGCCGTAGTGTAGAAGTCGTCGAAGTGGCCGCCATTTGACATTTGAACACGTGGTGGCAGCCATTTTGTTTAGACGAATGTGTTCAGCTGTGTTTTGTCGTCATGGAACTCAAATTGGACACACGATGGCAGGAACACCGCTGAAACGTTACCTTCTCTGGGACTTCGACTCCTCGATAGGAGTCAAGCTTTGTTCGACAATTCGTATGGCACTTCAACATGGACTGCTGTTCGTGCATTCAAAGTGAACTTAGCCATTGGAAATAGACCGGCCGCACAGCCAAATTCTCTGGAACTGTTTTGGGCATGAAATCATGCGTACGGTCAGTCGAAAGAGACCTCAAGCTAACTTTGGAACCCCTGCTCTGATCTGGGTGATTTGTGGATATGTTGTTCACCCAGATCAGGGCTATTTATGGGGATATGTTGGAGATTTGGGGTGTTTCTGCACTTTGGGTAATGGGTACATTCTGCCTGTGGATAATTGAGTTAGTTCATTATCCACCTTAATTATATCACAGGCAGAGGGGAAGGATTGCTGACTGTATGTGGGAGTGTTACAGTGATAATTATTGTGTTACAGTGTTACAGTGATTTGTTCCTTGTGTCCCTGTTTTCCAACTCGCAGTCTTGTCTCGTGTTGTAGGGTACTGCTATATCACACTGGGGATTGCTATACTCTGTATACTTGTCACAGTTGCTAGTGTGGTCCAACACGCAGAAACTATGTAAACATATACATAAAAAAGGAAAGGAAATAAAAGGACAGAGCGTGAACCGGACCTTAGAATGGCCGGACTAATACGCTAGAGATAGAGAATGGTCAAAGGGAAAGCCGAGGTCAGGGAAGCCAGAAATACTCAGATACCGTTTAAACAAGCCAAGTCAGGGGAGCCAGAATTTGGAATAACCAGGGAAAAGCCAAGATCAGAATACCAGGAAGTCAGATTCACAAAGATAAACGCACTCTCGGTAACCAGGAACAGGAAACCACGATGGGGCAAAGAACTGGAGTGAATTAGGGATTTACATATCCCTTTCTGGGCTCTGATTGGTCACAGGGTGACCTCTGACCCCAGAACGTGCGTGTGCGTTGACGTCGTGATGTCACGCGCACGTCCTTATAATATTTAGGGGCGGAGCTCGTGGTGTGCGCGACCACGTGGTCAGCACCATCTTTGATTTGGGCGCAACGCCCAGAAGACGCGGAGGAGCGGTTCCCGGATCGCAGGTAAGCTCGCAATATCGGCGAGGTCGTGCCAGTTGGGCATGGCTGCGCCATGCGGCGGGCCAGGAGCCGTAACAGTACCCCCCACTCGAAAACCGCTCACTGGGCGGGAAGGAGCCTGCTTATGAGGGAAGCGGTTGTGAAACGACCAGATAAAACGCGGCGCATGAACCTGGTCAGCAGGAACCTAACAACGTTCCTCAGGACCATAACCTTTCCAGTCTACTAGATAAGATAAAATACCCCTGGAGATTTTGGAGTCCAATATAGAACGAACTTCGTACTCTTCCTGATCACCCACTACCAAGGGCGGAGGAGGGGCAGCCACTTTAGTGTATCGATTGCAAGTAAGAGGCTTAAGCAAGGACACATGAAATGAATTGGCAATTCTCATGTGAGCAGGAAGTGCCAATGAATAAGTCACAGGGTTGATACGATGGAGGACCCGAAAAGAACCTATGTACCGAGGGGCAAATTTCATGGAAGGAACCTTGTCTCCTGGTTGATAGACAGGATTGGCACCCCGTCTCTTGTCAGCTTGGATTTTAGCACGTTTTGATGCCTTCTGTAATGCTGTATGAACGGAATCCCAAATATCAGGAATAGAATCCAAACGGGTGTTCAAGGCAGGAATATCAGAGTCTGAAAATTCAGAAGGTAAAACAGTGGGGTGGTAACCCTGATTTACAAAAAATAGACTATGACTAGAGGATTCATGAGTCGCATTATTTCTGGCAAACTCAGCCATGGGTAAGAGTTCATACCAGTTAGACT